GACGTCAGCGCGACGGGCAGGAAGTGGCCGCACGCGCTACCGATGCGCCAGGCCCGGGCCCCGACACCGAGACCCCGCGAAGCCCCGGGGCGCCCCAGCAGGCCGAGGCGGGGTGAGCTCAGGCCTCCTCCGGAGCAGCTGCGGGCCGCCCCGCTCCTCCCGTTTCCTCCGGCCGCCACCCCCGTCCCCAGAGCCCCCCTCCGGGCCGGCCCTGCCCAGCCGGCTCCGCTCTGGAGGGCCCAAGCCCTGCTGGCCATGGCTGGGGCGGAGGAGACAGACCCGGGCCCGGGGGGGAGGCTCCCGGTTTCAGGGGCGCAGCAGGATGGCAGCACCCGCACAGCAACCGCTGCAAGGAGCCGCCTTTTATTCAAAACCTGGGAGACGCTCCTAGCGCCTGCTTAATACTGTCCTGTTTGCATAAAGCCCTGTGGCTGAAAACACACGCTTTAAAAATTATACAAAGAGTTAGTTTTATTAAACCACCTAGTTACAAAAAGAAACGGAAAGAAAATAAACCAAAACATAGACCAAAATTCACATCCTAAGAAAGGAGAGGTGAGAGCAGAACACTGGAGCAGCTGGGCTCGGCTGCTGGGCAGCACCTGCCGCTCTGCCATGGTGACACGGAGCTGCTGTGACCACGTCCCAGTTCCCCCACAGCCCCCTTTCAGCTGGGCAGTTTGTCAGCGCAGAGCAGCCGCAGACAAAGCACCAAACCTGCCGCTTTGGGAGGAAACGGCGAGAGTAACAGCATCCCTCACTGCTCCCTACACCCCAGCCATCTCAAGAGTTTTTTATTAGACAAACTATTAGCTAGCATAAACACTGGCTTCATGTTAGCTCAGGATATGTTAATAGAAGGTTTCTGTGTAAACACTGAGAAAGGAATCGGACTAACTAAAGCATGTCACTTTTTTGAGCAAGAGGCATTATCAATACCTCGGCCTGATTCCTCAGTTGGCCCTTTCCTCTTCAAAAGGCAGAGCACTGCTCTTCGATGAGGGTATCCCAAGAGCCTCCTCACAAACAGTTGCAAGCAGGAAGTTCAAGTTTGTGTAGCACTCTGACAGTGAAGACTGCTGTGTAAAAATACTACAAGACTCTAAAGTAGATGCCATCCTGAGAGCTTTAAAGCAGCCAGAATGTCAGTAACCTTGAAGCAGGGCAGAACCCCCCAAACAACACTCAGTGCCCCACATTTGGCTCAAGTTTATCCCAAAGTCAAGTCCTCACACTCCAGTGTGTACTTACTGAGATTCACATGGAAACAAACTGGATTTCTATTGAACTCTACAAATAACTGTCACGTAAAAGCAAACCTAATTCTAATTTGTTAGAACAATCAGCTTCGTATTTACTTATCACATTCTCTTAAGGGAGAGGAACGCTCAATGGCAATGTCCCAGGGGTGGAGAAAGCACCGTCGTGATCCAGCGGGCAGAAACCTGCACACGCAGCTCCAGCACCTTCTCCTGACAGCAGGAAATGCTTCCTCAGTGCAGCAGGTGGAAGACGTCCAGCAGCACAGTGCTGCTGGGAAGAATGGGTTCTGCAGCAGAGGATCCTCTTCAGGAGTGCTCCGCGGGGCCTGCCCCGTGCCCGTTCACGTGAGGGTGCGATGGGGTTGAGCTCTGGGAGGTAGCAACACTCTGCTCTGCCGTGGCAGCTGTCAGAGGCATGGAGAGGCTTTCAGGGGACAGCGTGGCAAAGTCTTGTCTCCAGTAGGCTTCGCACAGTGGAAGATCATTGCTGTCACACAGACTGTAGCTTTCCAGAACAAACAACCCCCGTAAGGAAAGACAGGGGGTGCAGTGAGAGAAGAGGGGAGGGAGGAAAGGGTGGGAGGAGCGAGACAGAAGCAAAGCGTTAAGAAAATGGCAAAACATCAGTCATGGATGCAAGGTCTGCGTTCACAAATTCACCACAAGTCTTGTGACACTGGACCTCCCTAAGACACCCTTAAGGGCTGGTCTTGAACCTCAGGGGCCTGGTGAGGATCAGGGACGTTTCAGGGACAGAACTGCTGCTACAAACTGCAACAGAGGCTCAGTTCTAATTTAGATGCTCTTAAGTCCCTGAAGAGATCTGGGCTGAAGTCCTGACACCCTACAGATGGGAGTTCTGCTACCAGTTTAGGCAAGGTAAGGACCTCATCCACTAATTCTTTTACTTGGAATTAGATCACAACCTATGTGAGGAAAAAAATAGAAATCCTGATCTAAATTTCAGTCCAACAGAAAAGCTAGCACGACTGTTTTAGGGCCTGCCCCTGTCATGATCAAGAACAAACCTATCTGCTCCTTTTACTAAAGTGTTCCCCAGAAGGTCTGGGTCTTGTATCAACACTCCCCAGCCTGATCATAAAGTACTGATGGCTCCTACCACCTCCAGCAGAACCTGAGCTGCTCTAAAAGCAGCTTGTTGGATTTGATCTCTGTAGACTATAGAGCGGGATCAACCAGCAGTGTGGGAAAGTAATGTTTTAAAACAACTGGCTAATTCTTGCCTGTGCTCTGAGGAAAAGAGAATGTGGAAGGGCTAAAATTAAAAATGAAAATGATGGCAGAAACTGTAACAAAACCAAAACAAATTCCAAAGAGAGGAAGGAGCTGCACACACAAGAGATACCCAAGACAAAGTGAGTGCTGGAGCAGAAAGCAGCATGTGTTCATAGTAAAAGAAACCCAGTGGGTCAAGTGATTTTGTTGTTGCAGCTTTATTTACATTTTTAACGTATGGACTTGAATAGATGATTTGGGAGATATTTTAAGTGTAGAAATATGAGACACTTCAAACTGCACAAACATGAAACATGTCGAGATCAAACCCCACACTCAAGACAGCTCCTGTGATATAAGAACAGGGAGCAATGCAACATAAATGCAAGTCTGGGGTTTCGGATGAGAACAGGCAAGCTGGAGTTACCCCTTTGGGGAATAAGCACACGAAGCACTAGTTGTAAGCATCTACTTCTGAGCTCTTTTCTGGCAGCATCACCCAGCTGGTTTTGCAGCAGAAGTGAGATGGCAGTGGATGCAGGTTTTATATGCAGGGCCTTTATAAAATCCTTGGAAGATCACCCTTCCCTGCAGCCCCCAACACACAGTGAAGCTGAGTACAAGTAGCAAAGACTTTCAGGACTGAACCAGAACTACAACTCCTTTCCTGTCAGTCTTAGACATCAGGCCATGGTTTTCAAGGAGAACCTGGCAACAGCATCCACCACATCTCGGCAGGTGAGTTACTAAGAAACTTTTAGCTGCATCACAAGTCTAACTGCTTCTCCTGCTGCCCCATTTAGAACACTTCCAAGAGTCTAAGATTTTCATCTCATGTAACACTCCTCACAAGTCAGGGTGAATGAGCAGCTACTGCACAGCCCACAAAAGCACTGCCCAACCTGCTACTCTGTCCTTTGACTGAGGGTTTTTCAGTTCGTGGAAGGGACTTTACTACTCCTCCTTGGGGCATGCACAGAGGAACAGCTCTGAAACTACTGGAACACAGGGACTGAAAGTAAAGATTCCTTCAGAACAATCTACTCAGCTTTAGTTTCAAGGACCTGCTTTCGGGTCTCCTCATCAAAAACCCCCATATACACATAAGAAGACCAGCAATGGAACCTGACCCTACAACTGAGACGTATCCTGTTAGTAACTTGCTATGGGCAAGGGGCTGCCTCCTAAGCCCTGTCAGCACACTGGCAGTGACATTCATGCTGGGTGGGAGACGCACCTTTCCGCGGGGTTTTCAGTCAACGGGAGCAGCACATGGGGATCAAACAAGCTACAGAGAGCACGAGGCAGCTCTGGGCTCTGCAGCACCTGGAGGTGTGCTGCTGCAGGGAGCTCACTTTTCTGCAGCTTTCCCTGGAGGGATGACCTAAAATAAACTAACTGGTCACCTTCAGGGAAATGGGAGCATGAAGGAGCAGTTTGTCAGGACAGCTGCATGGAACCCATGTCCTGGCCTTACGGGACTGCACCCCTCTTTATAAATCCTGTGGGATCAAGCCCCTTGAGAGAGTTACAGATGGGGCAGAGGCAACCCCAGCTGGGCTCCCAGGGCAGCACAGAACACCCGTTTGTGGGCAAAGCAGCTATGGCATTTACAGCCCTTTAAACATCACTCTATGTGACATAGCAGAAACCCTTTTTCCCCACATTAGACAATGAGTTTCATTAAAAATATCTTCGTCCTCTAAATATAAAAGGAGTTTGAATAAATCATCGCTTCTATATTTACACACACAAAATTTCTTTGGTGCAGAAAGAGACAGGAAAGAGCACAGGAAGGGAGTAAGTGCTAAAAGCAAACAAGTGCTACATGGTACCAGGTTTCAGTGGAGGGATCACAGCTCTGTAGGGCTGCCAAGTTTTCTCACCTCACAACCACTCTTACAAGAAACAGCATGGAGGCAAATCTGCTTGGTGTATGCCAACACTTGTGCTTAGATGTTAATTCTGTCACAAAAGGTTGCTTTACACGGCACCTGGTGCCAGGCAGGTGAACAGACCACGCCAGCATGGTCAGAACCCCTTAGTCCAATGAAGTGCTAGGGCTTGGACAACAGACCCAAGCCAGAGTTGACCTACAGATGAATCCTGTATATTTTATAACCAACAACCATTGTGCTAATAGGTACTGTACTAAGTTATAACAAACCACCTACTCGTATGTTAAAAGTGCTAAAGGGTTGAAGTATCAAAGCCTGAACAACAGGCCCTGAGCCGAAGCTGCTAACTTAGTATGTAGTCATTACTGAAATATGTATGCTCATTAATGAAAGATGTAGTTTAGATATCATATACTCATTACTGATGATGAATGTAATGAAAACATGTCTATCCTGCATGTATCTTTTTCTTCTTATTATCTGTGTAGAGGCAAGTTAACAAGGCCACAAAGCCAGCTGTCCGGCCTTGGGACCAGATGTGTGGCCTTGTTCTGAAAAGAACAGAAATAAATTAGATAAGCATGGAAACTCCCTTAGCTTCTCCCTTGAGACCTGGCCAGGCTCTGGAGGAATCTAATGTGAGAGTGAAACCAGATGTTCCACTTAAAATAAAGGTGTCAGCTATTCTGGCTTGCTGATTTTTGGTTATATAAGGTTGGACACTCTAGCAGTGACTTTGGAGGCCTCCCCTACGGGTGGACACACCACGCAGGATTTCCTACTCACTGGGAAAGGCTCTGCAAATCCTCGCTGCAACCAGGGCTGCCCAGCACCTGCAGATCTGGATGATGGTAACATATGCAAGTGGTGATGTACCTTTCTTAATCACTATTCTCTCTCTCTGGTGGTAATGATTTGATGCATTACCCTGTATTTTCCTATTTGTTTACTTTAAGTGAACTATTCTGTCTTTTCTTACTCTATGTTTTCTGTATTACTCTGTTCCATTATTTAGTTATCCCCAGTAAAATACACCTACTCTTTTCACTCTGGTGTCTGAGTTTAATTGGTTTCCTTAATCAGCAAAACATCCAGAAGTTAAAGGTGCTGACAACACGGTGACGGCAGTCTGGTGACAGCGTGAGATGCACGTCTGGCACACATGAGGCACTCTCATCCCACACCGCATTGCTCTGCATACAGCTCCCTGCTGTGCTCTACGCAGCCTGTGCAGTGGATGCACCCCCGACCTGTCAGGGCCTGGTGCTTGGGTTTGCGACCATCACTCTTCATTTCTGAGATATTTCAAGGATCCCTTGCCACCACCCCAGAAAAACTAAGTAAAGTTTGAAAAACAACTGTAAACTTTTACATCTAGTTTTCTTCCAATGTTGTAGCAGTTCTTAAGCTATGTCATATCGGTATCTTTTTACTGTTAAAATACATATATTACTCATAAATAATGGCCTAACGATATCCAAAGATATTGAGCAACCAGGGTTTTAGTTGACTTAGCTGGGGTTATGGGCATTCAGCATTTTTAGAAAGAAAGGAAAGGCAAAAATAGAAAACCTGGTCATTAAAATTCTAAATAAGATTTCCAAAAGTTAAGCTTCTGTTTAGAAGTCACAGCATTACTGGACTGACTTCACTTAGCTTGGACAGTGCAGCCAAAATAACCAGGTTCTTATTTGCTTTCTCGTGCTTTCATTTACTGCATCATCCACTAGAAGTGGATGGAAGTGCTGGAGTGCATGCAGGCACTAGAAGTGCTGGAGTGCATGACAGAAAATAAAATTAAAAAATAAAGTGTCTGAATTCTCTGAAGCCTGTTTTCTACGTAAATTTTTAAAATATTTAAAAATCCCATCAACAAATCAGTAATAAGTCAATATTCCATAAAAAATCCTATCACAATACTTTGTAATTCAATAAAACAGCAAGTCCTTTTTGCTCATTTCTAATGTCCACGCCGACAGGCCTGCAGGCAGCTGGGGGCAGTGGACTGCAAGGGAAAAGGCACTGTGCAACCAGGTCACTTGTGAAAGAACTCACCACGAAGACGTGGTGATCTCATCAAACATTAGGACTCAGGTCAGCAAGCTACTCTCTCTAAGGAGAGAAATAGAGGCTCCTCCAGAGGGATACTCAGACAGAAGCCTTCACCCCCAAGGAAATTCATCTCCTTTCACAGTGACTACAAAGGGAGCAAATCACCTGTCAAAAGTAGCCGACTAAAGCAGGCACCTAGAGTTGGATGCTGTGAATACTTCCTGCACCATGACATCTATACCCTGGAGGGTATCTACAAGGAAAAGGCATTTGCTTCAGTTGCAGAAAAAGTTTGGCCTAATTAAAAACAGGAGTGAAATTTTGTTGGGAACATTCTCAAGACCTATACTCTAAGGACTACTTGTTTGCTGGACTAACTACCCCAAAAGGGCTGAAGTCGTAAGGTGGATGTCCACTACCCTATTTGTACCTGGAAGAGTAATATTCTTCTTCTAGCTCGTACAGGTCAATGGAGATCTCATCCCGTAGCGCAATCAACTTTTTGTCACATTCCTCCTGCAAGCTTCTCAGCTGCTGGTTGCGCTGGTTGATAGCTTCATTCACAGAGGGGAAATCATTGAGGATCAAGAACTGCTTCAGGTCAGACACAAGTTTCATCAGGGACTCACCAGCTCGGACCTTGTAGCAGGGGAAAAAAAATCACACAGCACATAGTGCATCAAAACAGTGCTTTGCTCCAGGTCTGAAACAAGATCTCCCAAGTTTCTCCTTGAGCCCAAGTTTTCAATAAAGTAAAACCTCCCATGTTACGTGAGGATTCTGACAGCAGTCTGCAGCTGACAAGCCAGGCTACCCAGCTTTACCAGCCACTCCAACTATCAGGTTCCCCTCCTAGCAGCAGTACCCCTGAGTGTTATAAAGGCTGCCCCAGATGCAACAACGAACCGAACAGGACCTCGAAGATGTGCCGCCCACCGATTTGAACATTAGAGTGTTACTCACAATGTTTGCAGCTCTGACATGCATCTCATAGTTATCTTGTTCACCCTGGGTTGCTCGTGAGACTTGAGTTTCATCCTCAATCTAAAGAAAAAAGTACACACGTCCACCTTGACATATGAAAATCCTGAGAGATGATTACTACATCTCAAGACATCTCATTACAGTTCAGCCCACACCTGGAATCCCTGGGGCAGCCTCTGGACTCTACAGCACCCACGGATCACCTCTGCTACCCTCCCCACTTGCTTCTGCTCTTCTCCCCTGTTCAGCAACACACCTCGGCAGCCCCCAGGGCGAGGGCAGCGGGGCCAGCTACAGGCGGGGAGAACTGACCACCGCCCGCTCCAGGGAAACAACCCGCTTCCCTCACGGCCGCCCTCGGGGGAACCGAAAAGCCCCGGCGCCCTCCCCGAGGGGCTCGCTCTCCCCTCACGGCTACCCCCGGTTGCAGGGCCGCCTCTCCTCCCCTCAGGGGCCCTGTTCTCCCCCCAGGGGCCCTGCTCTCCCCTCAGGGCTCGGCTGCGGCCCAGACCCACCTTGGCCGTCTTAATGATTTCAGTGAAGTTGTCCATGATAGACTTGACATCGTCCTTGAGGCGCTTGTTGTAGGACTGCAGCAGCGTCTCCTTGCTCTGCGGCAGCACCCGCTGCTGCGCCATGGCGGCCGCCGCCCTCCCGCCCCGCTCGGCCCCGCCC